TCATGGTGCTGCTGCTGCTGGGCTGGCAGCTGTTTGGGAAGGGGCAGCGCTGGGCCCAGATGCAGTGGCAGGATGGCTCGGTGAGCAGGGATAGGGACTGGGTGCAATCCCTGGGGTGGGATCTTGCCTTCCCAGCTCCTGGCCTGCCCCTGGGAGCCCTCTCTGCCGAGTGGCCCCTCTCTCCCCACCCCAGGGTGGCATAGAGCTGGGAAGGGCTCCTGAACCATTTGGTGGTTAGCTGAGACGGCCTGTCCTCCCGGTTGGCTCCTTGCTCTGCAACACTCCTGGCTCTCTTCTGGCTCCCTGAGACACCAGGCTGGGCCATCACCTCCCTCATCTTCCTTTGGCTCTGTCAGGACGCTCTGCGGAGGCAGCTCATCAAGGCACGGCGACTTCTGAGGACCTACTGCTGGCACCTGCAGGGCCTGCTGATGGGGCTCACCTGGGGCCCTGCTAATGCTCTCATCTGCCTTGTGTCCTGGCTCTTGCAAGCTGCCTTGGAGCTCATGGGCAGGGTGGCCAGCGAGGAAGAGGAAGGGGAGGAGGAGGATGTGGAAATGGAGCTGCTGAAGAGCTGGAAGGAACTGAGGCCTCATGTAGTGAGGGAGAAGGAGGAAGGCAATTGAGTGCACTTTCCTAGCATCATTAATAAAGCTGCTGGAAGGCTTTTGCTTTTTGTGCCTCTTCTGTCCAGAGAAAAGAGAGGAAAGTGGGGCTGGCCACACGCTGAGAAGTCCCTCTGTAAGGCAAGCAGTCAGAGAGCTGATGTCAGCCATGGCAGAGCACATGTCCAAGGAGCATTGTGCCTCTTGGCACATGGGGCCAGGGAGAGGGTGAGCAACTCCTCTTCCTGGGCATGGTACCACTGTCCAGGGGGCACAGTCACTGTCCTGCTGCAGAATGTCCTTCATTTCAGAGATCTCAAAGGGCACCTTGTTATGCATTTAACCTCAGCTTGAGGCATCATCAGGCTGCCTTACTATATTCAGTGAGCTCCAGAGGAGGCTTTCACACTCCTCATGGACCAGTACATGAGGAATAGAGGGAATGCTGCTCGCTGAATTGGTCTAGCCTCTTGGCTCGGGCTTGGTTGCCAGCAGAACTTCTTGTGACAGGACCTCAGGTGCTGGGTGCTCAGCCTCTGCAAAGACCTCTGAACAGCTGAGGGAGGAAGGACTTGTTCTTGGGGTGCCCATGGACATCCCAGAGCTTTCTGTCTGTCACTACTGGCCCTTGTTACCCTAGCCAGAAGTGGGGGCCTGAGCCCTGCCGGAGCCCTCTTCATCTGTAGAGGTCACTGGGGTTGGGCTATCTCCTGCTCCGGTCTATCTAGCGTCTGGTGCTGAGGGTTTGGGGGCAACTATGCCCCTAGTGGTTAAGGCACTGAGTAAATACTGCATGCGTGCTTCAGCAGAGACCCTGCAGACTTCTGAAGTTCTGCTGTTGGACAGGTCACCTCCAGCTCCACTTGCACAAGCCACCCTGCCCTACTGCTCTTATAGAGCACTTCCAGTGTATAATCTGGGTGTCATGGTTAGGTACACACCTGCTCCACAGCTCCAGCATGTTGCTGATAGCAATACGATGTTGTACCACTTCCATGGGTAACATCCTGTCCCAGGGCTCGAAAGGATCTTGTCCTACCTTGTCACTTGGACCAGTGATCTCCTTCCCTGCAGTGTTTCCAGGCCCTGTCCCATCCCACTTCTGATAAAGATCTGCTGCACTATTGTTTTTGCAGGTCAGGTACTGCCTTATTGTTGCCTTAGGTCACTGATGTTAAATGCATGGTTACTGTGCTGTCTGGGCAGGTCATCTCCTGTCCTGCCTCTTGTCCCAGCCTGACAGTGCCCCTAGTGCATAATGACAAAGCTGTGCTGTCATTATGCCACTCGTACTCACCACCCTGATCTCCCCTGCCACCACCTGAACAGGTCCTGCCCCACAACATGTAAAAGTAATATATCATACTAATGTTGAACAGCTCTCTCAGCCCCAGAGGAAGAAGGCATCTGCCGCTTGTGCAAATCACTTCATGTCCTGACACATGTTCAGATCTCCAACTATCTGCCACTTCTATGGGTCAGTCATCCACCGTGCTGGCCCTTGCACATGCTTGCAGTTGAAAAACAGCACCAGAAGAATTTGGGGTCAGAAGGCAGAGTATCACGTTTGGGTTTTGCTCACTGGAAGCAGGACAAGAATTATGTAGAGTGCCAACATAATGGACAAGAATTTGGTAAGATACCTTATCCTTTGATCTGAGTGCCTTACATTTGTTATATACTGTATCTGACCGATTAATGAAGGAAATCCATTATTTTGTAGATATAGAGGGTCCCATTTGGAGCTGTTCTCTAAGAGAAGTTGCATGCTTACTGCTTAGAGAGTCCCTGATGTGCTATGAGCGTGACACTCGTTTTTGCTGGAGCTACCTTTGACTTTAGTAGTGAAGATAGTTCACTTAGACTCAGGCTTATGCGATCACCCTCATCTATTGCAACCAGTAACTTGGCTTGCAGCTTTGTTACAGGAGAAAGCTGCACCCTAGTGACAGAAAAAACCTGAGACCATTGAGAGATTCAGCGGGTCCCCCAAGACCGTTCTGGTAGCTCACGTCAGCACTTGCTCTGCAGCTCAGATAGGTTGCTATTGCTCTTCCTGTTACAGTGTCGTGCTGACCACCTCCCCAGATGCTAGTCAATTTGTCTGTTCCTCTGCTGACATCTAGCTGCTCTCCAGCCCCTGATGCATGGTGTCTGGGAACCCCAGACAAATGGGCTGCTTGTGCAGGTGGGTGACTATGGTCAGGGCACGTGGCTTATGCTGACCTTTGGCTGGGCGTATGAACAACTAAGGCACAACACCTTCCTCTGGAAGACCTACCTACTTGGGCTGCATGTCCCAAGCCAGGCAGGAGCCTTTCTGTGCTTCTCCTGGACAGGTGAAGGTGGGTCTGCCCAAGGGTGGACATTTCGGGGGCTGCACAGGTGCAGGGTGGCTGAGGCAGTAATGACTGTGGGCCTCGAGAGGGAGCCCTCCACCCGTGCTCAGAGGCCTTGGACTTGGCACCTGCCACTCCAGCCTGCCTGGGAGCAAACTGGGATGCACTGGCTCTGTGGCATGTCTGAGCCCTGCCAGCCACCCCAGCCCTCATGAGTCTTGCCAGCACCTTGCCCACAGCCCAGGGAGTTGTGCTGTGCCTGGCTGGGATGCTCTACCCCATGCTGCCCCATACCTGCCTTCTGCCCTCTTGTGGGTCCCTTCCTCATGCACTCAGGGCACCAGCTTGTGGGTGAGATGGGCTTGCAAGCAACTGAGTGGGGTGAGACTGGGACCCGCTGGTTTGCCCGGTCTCCCAGCATCGCCTGCTGCTGGCAGGGCTGGCCTGCCAGCTCCAGCTGCAGCCCTTCCCACTGCAGCATGGGCTTCAGTGCCTGTCTGCAAACACCAGCCCAGGCTGGGCTGACCTCAGCTGACTCAGAGGCTGCTGAGTGCTTTCCGGTGATGGCCTTGGAGCATCTCTTGGAGGGGTAGCAGAAGGACTGTGTGGGTCTGAGGTACACAGCAGGGGCACATGGGAGAAATCAGACTCTGGCTGAGCTAGGAACTGGTGAGAGAAGGTCCCTTCCCCCTGGATGGGAAGGTGAGCGCAGGTCTCTTCCCCATCTTGCCTGGATGTCCAGGCACCCAGATGGTTCCCGGGAGGGAGCTCCAATGGGCTGCC